TAAAAATTGAAGGGGAGGAAAATTCGATTAAAGAATTACGAGAATTGTTTGAATTATTAACCGAAAAGAAAAATAATTTGAGAACGCTTGATGATGAAATACTAGAGTTAATTGATGTTAACTTAATTGAAGAAGATTGTAGTATAAGCGAAGAATACAATGACAAATGTATAATTGCTTGTAGTCAAATTAAGCAGTTTCTAGGTGCGGTTACCGCAGTACCGCCAGCGAGGAATCCCCAAAGTTCTGATTTAAACCAGTCTAGTGGTAATGGAATTTTGCATGTAAGTTCCAGTTCTAGTGGGAGTAGTACGCTGAAATTACCAAAATTAATGATTGATAAATTTTGGGGAGACCCCAAACAATGGAATGAATTTTGGAATAGTTTCGAAAATTCGATACATAAAAACGAAACGCTTTCAAAAATACAAAAATTTGTATACTTAAAAACATTCTTAACGGGACAAGCTTCGAATGTTGTGTCAGGCTTTGAGTTAACAGAAAGTAATTATGATAGTTGTGTAGCATTACTAAAGGACAGATATGGTCGAAAAGACCTGATCATTAATTCATTCATGAATAAAATTCTCAATTTAGAAGCCGTTAAAAATTCTGCTAACGTAAAGGCTTTACGTAAATTATATGACGAATTAGAAGTTTCGATTCGTAATTTGGAAACTTTAGAAGTAACTTCTGGCTCATATGGACATTTATTAATTCCAATATTATTAAAATTAATTCCGGACGATTTAGTTTTGGAATTTAATCGGCAAAGAGGATCGAAAGATAAAGTTGAAGTTTCGGAATTAACACAATTTATTAAAACGGAAATAGAATGCAGGGAAGTTTCAAATCTAGTATTAAGCGAAAGGAAAAATCCTGTGCCTCCGCGAGTCGATCAATCAAAATATGAAACTAGAAAATATGTAAAAAATACACCCACGGCTGCATTTCATACTGCAGTTAACCGAAAATGCATCTTTTGTGATAATTTGCACGAGTCATTTAAATGCGAAGTGAATGTTTCTGATAAATTAAAGAAACTAAGATCCGAAAACCGCTGCTTTTCTTGTTTTAAAAAAATTCCATACATCAAAAAAGGTGCAGAAATAAAACTAAATGTAATAAATGTGGCGGTAGGTATGTATCACAATGAATCGATTTGTACTAATAAATCCCTTGTAAACAAAAAGTCGGAACAAGGTTATTCCAAAAATGAAACTGAATCTCTGACTTTGAATTCTGAGGAAAGAAATAAAGTTCAAAACTTAAAATTGATTGCTTCTGTTCCTCAATGTGATAATAATAATGACTGTAATGCCAGGGAAATATTATTACAAACTTGTACAGTTTATGCTTGTTCTAAGTATAAATCAAAATTAACTAGATTAATTCTTGATCAAGGCAGTCACAGATCCTTTATAACGAAAAAATTGGCCGACCATTTAAAACTTACTCCAATCCGTTATGAAAGACTTTCTGTTTATTCATTTGGTGCGACGAAGGCAATGAATCATTCCTATCCGGTCGTTGAAATCGAAATTCAGAATTGGAAACAAAATAATAAAATAAAAATTGAATGTTTGATCTCGGATGTTATTTCCTCGGCGTCCATCAGTGTGCCTAGTAAACAAATTACAGACTTCATGGAGCATATGGGGTTGCAGATCGCCGATTGCGCAAGAAAAAATAACATAGATGTTGAGATATTAATTGGCGGGGATGAATTCTGGAATGTAGTTTATTCTGAAAGAATTAAAATATCTGAAGGGTTGTACGTAGTAAGTTCTGTGTTTGGTTGGGTTGCCGCAGGAATCGAGAAAAATAAAACAAACAAAAATTGTTCTGAAAATTTAGCGGTAATGACAAACACTGTTGTGTTGAAAGATTTAAAAGGTTTTTGGGAATTAGAACATATGGGAATTAATGATTCTGATGATTATTCCGATATTGACTGCGAAATAGTAGACCAGTTTGAAAGAAATTTGCAGTTTAAAAAACGGAAGATATGAGGCAAATTTAATCTGGAAATACAGAATAATCAATTTTAGGAGGTAGCTAAGAAACGATTCGCAAACCTTCACAATAAACTAAAGTAAAACTCCGGAGATTTTTCAGGAATATAAAAATATAATTGAGAACCAGATATTAGAAGGAATTGTGGAGGAATGTCCGAATAATGATACAAATTTGGGATATTTTATGCCTCACCGAGCAGTGATACGATACGACCTAGTGAAACTACTAAGGTAAGAATTGTGTACGATGCTAGCTCAAGGACAGAGGACACGAATTCGTTAAATGACTGCCTTGAATCGGGACCTAATCTAAATCCAAATATACTAGACATTATGTTAAATTTTCGTAAGTTTAAGATAGCGTTTTGTGGAGACGTTGAAAAAGCCTTTTTGATGATAGGAATTGCTGAAGGTGATAGAAAATTTCTAAAATTTCTTTGGTTTAATGAAAATAATGACTCCTTTAAGATTATGCAAATGTGTCGCGTAGCTTTCGGTTTGACTATATCTCCTTTCATTTTGGCCGCCACTATAAAATATCACATTCGAAAATATAAAGATAAAATGCCGGACAGTTTCCAAATGTTAAATTCTTCTGTCTATGTCGATGACCTATATTTTGGAGCAGGAACGGTTGAAGATGCATATCGGTTATCTGTAGATGCGGTTAATATATTTAAGGATGCTGGGATGAATTTCAGAAAATTAAGAACTAATTCTAAAGCATTAAACGATTTATGGGTCTCAAGATGGGATTAAGGAATCAGATAACAAATTAACTAGTGAATCGAATTTCTTAGGCATGATTTGGAATTCCATTGAAGACGATATATAAAGTTAAATTTAAAAAATTTAATTGACTTTTCTACTGGAAACGATTTTGCTACAAAAAGGAAACTTTTGCAAAGCATCGCCCAAATATACGATCCATTTGGATTTATTGCACCCTTTGTTATTCGGGCAAAAATTATTATGCAAGAAATCTGGTGTGTTCCGGTTCTGACTGGGATGAGGTCCTTCCTGCAGAGATTAAGGAAAAAAATTCAACATTTGGCGGGAGGAACTTAATGATTTAACTGAAATATCGATACAGAGCGAAATTTCTTTGATGACGATCCAATGAATATAAGCCTTCACCTATTTTCGGACGCTAGTCCTAAAGCATATGGGGCCATCGCATATTTCAGATATTGTACGAGTGATTCTAAAATTAAAACTTCCTTTATCATGTCGAAATGCAGAGTTGCACCTTTAAGAGCAATCACGCTTCCTCGTTTAGAGTTAATGGGAGCACTCATGGCTGCTCGAATGTATAAATACTTGAAAAAATTGTTTGGTGATTTAATTGAGGATGTTTATTTTTGGAGTGATTCCGAAATCGCCATTACTTGGATTAAAGGTTCGCCAAATAATTGGAAACCATTTATCGCCAATCGTGTTACAGAAATACAGAGTATATGCAACAAAAAATTGTGGAACCACTGCGAAGGAAAACAAAATCCTTCCGATTTACTAACTCGAGGAATTAGTGCTCAGTCACTAATTAAGAATGATCTGTGGTGGCATGGGCCACACTGGTTACGTTTTTCTATTGAAAACTTTCTAAAACAAAAGAAATTAAAACCAAATTCAGAATCGTTGGAGTTAAGAAAAAGTATTATTTTGACTGCACCTGTAATTAACAATGAATCCCCAATTTTGCATATAGAAAAAATTCAGTTCTTTAGGAAAATTACTTCGAATTACTGCCTATGTATTTAGATTTATTGGGAGGCTTCGGAAAAGGTCTACAGGAGAATGGACCTTTAAGTGCTTTTGAGATTAAAGCAGCTGAACATTATTGGGTAAAAATTACGCAACGAGAATCGTATCAAGCGGAAATAATTAAGTTATCAAATAAAAAAATCAATTCTCGATTCTTCCATCTACTCCCTTAATCCAAGGCTTGATGAGGAGGGAATTCTTCGGTTGAAAGGTCGCATTCAATTTGCAGACTGTCACGAGAATTTAAAACATCCTATTCTATTACCCTCAAAATGCAAGTTTACCGAGTTGATCATCATGGACTCGCATGAAAGGGTATTCCATGCTGGAGTTAATTCAACACTAACTCAGATCAGAGACAAATATTGGATCATTAAGGGAAGACAGCGTGTTAAGACTATCATCAGAAAATGTGTGATATGCAAACGATATAGTGCTCGTCCTGGGGTACAGGATATCGCTCCACTTCCTCCAGACAGAATCCAAGAGTCGCCTCCATTTGCTGTGACCGGGTTGGACTTCGCCGGTCCATTTTTTACGAAAGACAGGCAAGGTAAAGTTTACATGCTGTTGTTAACGTGTGCGGTCACTCGTGCCTTACATATAGAGATAGTAACTGATCTCAGCACTGAAAGTTTTTTGCTAGCCTTCCGAAGATTTTTAGCTCGCCGAGGACTGTGTACCACCGTGTACTCCGATAATGCCAAGACTTTTAAAAGAGCTGATAAAGAACTAAAACATATTTTTAAAACTTTGAGTGATTCATCTGTGAAAGAATTATTTTCTGCTAGAGGCATAAATTGGAAATTTATTATTGAGAGGGGTCCATGGTGGGGAGGGTTTTGGGAGCGTATGGTACGAACCATAAAATCCAGCTTGCGAAAAATTATTGGTCGAGCATCCCTTACTGTGAAAGAGCTTGAAATCCAGGCAATGATTAATTGTAGACCAATTACCTACGTGTTTACCGATCCCAATGAACCTTCTCCACTAACGCCCTCTCAATTTCTGGTTGGTAGACGATTACTATCTCTGCCCTGCTAATCAATTCAACCCAGAAGAAATCTCTGGACAATAGGGCAAATTTTGGAATTAATGCCAGGCAGAGATGGTAAAATAAGATCTTGCATAATTAAAACACCTACTGGTACCTTAAAAAGGCCTATACAATTGTTATATAATATGGAACTTAACTAATGTTTGTATTTTGTATTTTAGGTTTGATTCTCCTGACCTTGCTGATAGGTATCATTTAATGTTTTGTAAAATTTTTTGTGCTTATAATTATGTATGCATGTGTGTTATATTTAACCATTTATCCAGGATTTATTGTCGAAATATTAATTGAATATTCTAGAATATATTATTGAAAGATGAACTCTCCACCGAGTTCAGGTGGGGAGTGTTGTGTAATTTGAAGAAAAAGGCTAGAGGGCGCTGTTGCTCGCTTAGTTGTGGAGAATAAAGTTTGTTCATGTTGAAGGCGGCGGCCTAAGAATACGCTCTGTATATAGTAATTAAAATATTATTAAAACGTAAGTGTTAAAATTAGTAAACCCACTGAACCACCATCATCTGATTTGGAGATGCACATAATTATTAGAGGGGGGGAATCTTGGTTCATCAATGGAAGACCGATTTACGTCAATATGAATTGACCAATTACGTTTTACTGTGTATGATTATTTTCATTTGGCTGTAGAGAAGATACCTTTATCTTTCATTGTTATAACATTTCTTAAAAAGAGTGGTCATGTTTATCAGCTTTGCCGTTCAGATTTTGCATTTTTTAGAAACATTACGTATATTCAAATTCATTAAATTTCGACAAAAGAAACGAAAACTTGATTATGAATATTCTGTTGAAACTTCAGTTAAACCTGGAAAAGTAATTTCAAAAATATTTCTTCAAGTTTTTTCGATGAAGCAAAAGATTTAACAGCTCCATAATCTGAATGCACTCTAGTAATTTCTTTATGATACTGAAAAATAAAAAAGGAACTTTTTAGCTGAAAATCATTCAAATTTGCAGCTTATTTGAAAGCAAACGACTCCAAGAATAGAATAAGCAGCCATCACTCTGATATTAATCTGAATGCTGAGCAGATGCGCTTAGAAATGTTCACCTTACAAGACCTCATTTCTTGGGTGGCTACAACACTAAATGAATTTGCTTTCTACTTTTACGAGAAATTTATTCTAACGTATGTTTGCATTTGTAATAGATCAGAATTATTAGAAAGACTGTATTTTTAAGAAACTAAAAAATAAACTGAAATTTCAAACATTAATATTTGTCAAAATCGTAAAAACAACCTTGTATTTAGCGTAAGTATATTGAAAACACTCAATCGATTGAGTGTTTTCAATATACTTGCGCTAAATACAAGGTTGTTTTTACGATTTTGATTGTCACATCAGCGTGTTTCTCTTCTAGTCTATTAATATTTGTACTAATTGCACCAATTGTATTGATCACCTAATACGCTGAAAATGCAGGAGTTAGGCCTGAACCTATCAGTAATTTCTCTTATTTCACATGAGAGACGGCATATTCAATAACTATGAGAATTTCACAATTAGAGAACGAAAATCGAATATTGCTTCTTTCTCATATTTTGAGAATAATTCACGAATGGGAATAAGCATTCATATTGTATTTGACTCGATTTTCAAAATATAGCTTAAAAAGCTGAAAAGAACCCGTTCTATAGTTGTGGAATCGAGAATGTAAAATAAGCATTCAGTAACCAGAAATAAATCTCTAAGATAGTTAACTGAAAATAAATCGCAAATATAGTTTTAACTTGGATGGATCACCTCAGTCAGTATGAATAATTTATTCTGTTGAACGATAATTTCCTAAGAAACGCGCAACTTTCTTTAAACAATGACCTTCCCTACTGTCTACTCGGCAATTTAAAAATAATAAATTAATAAAAAAAAAAAAGTAAAAGACGGGGAAACCCGTTCGTATACAACTTTCTTTAGTTGTAACCGCCGCGTTCTCAATATTCATTGCTCGTAAAAAACTGGAATTCGTACTGGTGCTGTAGTGACGTCACACTCGGCGTTTCAAGGAGAAAAATATGTAGATGAAATGCCTCGGAAAATTTGCTCCATCGAACTAGATATGTACGTGTCCGTAACCCCAATTCGCGAGTTTTTGTGCGAAACAATTTTAAAAAGAAGATAAGAGAAAATGGTGTTTCCTTCGAAAGCTGTCGAGCCACGTAAGAAGCGAATTTCAAGCTCGCGTTCTATTTTCATTTTTGAAACATGAAAGATCATCGAAGATCAGTGTCTAAAAAAGGATTATCAGTTTAGTTATTTAGTGAAAACTAGAAAACAGAAGTAATTAGTTTATGAAAATACAGAAATTCGAGCATTGCTCGATTGCGCTTGTGTAATCCAGTATCACTGAAACAGCGCAGAAATTAATTGTAGATTTACGCTTTCAATTAAATGTCTCTTAATTTAAACCCTTTCCCTACCCAAAAGAATATATTGGAAAAATCAACATGAAATACATTTTGTGCTGCATTTTACATCTAAGGAACACATTTCATTTTGCTAAATAAAAATAAAAGCGCCTCCCCTTTTTTTTTTAAAGTTTTTAAGTCTTGCGAAAACACATCAGCACAAGCCCTTCGTCTGTAAAAGGGTCTGCGGTTCATTTTTTTTTTTTTTTTTGTGCTGTTTTTGCTGTGTGACTCTCTGGGCACTACATATGACTATAACCTTGCTGTATGTAAAGTATATACTTATTTCTTTTTATTATTAAAACTTTTTCTTCGCCATACGGTCCTGTTTGCCAATTTTAGTAGCATTCAGACTGTATGCTAAGAATCGCTTTGTTTTTATTTAGAATAGAAATTTCTCTGTCGAAGTTGCTCCAGATGAATGTATGATTTCAAAAGAAATATTATAATCATTATCTGAAATTGAATTATAGCAACACGCGTATTTATTAACTGCGTAAGTTGAGGTATGGCTACATAAAAGGTCGAGGTATGGCTTTTTAAAGGAAAACGGCTCGTAGTCACGTTACACATATATAAAAGGCACGAAACCTACTTGCAGCCTTCCATTCGCTGGGATTCTAACCGAAGTCATGTTATCAGTGTCCAGCGGCCGCAGTCACTTGGCCTCTAATGGGCACTAAGCGGTTCGCGATAGTAAAGTTTCTTGCAGTTTGAGAAGCTATCTGCCCATTTTGAAATCTTGATTGAAGGTTTAAGTTTTTTTGTTTAGATTTACAGTGGTATCTCAGCACACCTCAGTAATCCTTGAATGATCCTCTGATCCTTGAACGTATAACAAATGAATTTTCCAATAAGATATAAAGGGAAAGTAATTTAATTATAAAAAATTCCTATTGTTACGATTATAACACTGTTTATATTAAAAAACAAATGCAGTAGGGAAGACACTCGTATATACTGTACATGACTGAAGCACTGCACATGAATACTTTCTGCCATCGAGATCAAAAGCAATTTTTTAAACATGCTCCATCTTTGCTTGGTAATCGATTTTAGCTTTTCGTAACTTTACTCGATTCAATAGTCATTGTTTTTCACAATCGTGGACACCATCATGCTTGTCATACGATATGGAATAGCAAAGTCCTGGATAAGCATGCCATCTTCACACCTTTCAACAAGCTCTTTTTTTCACTTCTTTAGTGATCTTAAGAATTTTCTTCATTGCTTGACTCTTCTTATTAACTTTCTTAAAACACATTTTGAATGACTTTACAAAACAATTATGCGATTATTATGCAAAAAAAAAAAAAAAAAAAAAAATGTAAAATCACTCGAAAATTCAGAATTTTTGCTAGTTATATTTACTGAAAAGTAGCAACAGGCGTACTGATACTCATAGGCAGTCGCAGCATTGCCTCGAAAGAAGTAAACTAGTGTAAGGCAAGCTGTCATGACTCATCAAACTTGAGTTGTATTCCAAACAGACGTCGTATACCCAAAAAAAAAAAAAAAAAAAAAAAAATCGTGTTCAAAATAGGATATATGCAAAATTGGATGCATTTCAAAACGAACGGACGCATACCAAGGTACCATTATATTTGTTGTACAGCAGCATCTTTATGTAAAGTTGCGTCACTACATAGCATATCATTATTATATTTCTGTGTTTCAAAAACCATTAGGATAATTGCTCTTTCTTCATTTGTAGTAATATCTACTGTGAAAGAATACTTATACGAACTGGACTACTCGTGTAATTGCTGTCCTTCGGCGCAGATTTCGTTAATTATTATTACATATATACAGTTCACTATACAGTACTAGTCTAAAATAAGTTCATAATATGGGGACGGTTATATGAAAATAGACTGATATTTAACAACGTACGCAAATTTATTTACTGCGTTTTAGCAGCTATCAGGAAATAAAAAAAAAGAAAAAGAAGAGGAAGAGTGAGTGTATAAGACATTTCTCCAGCCTTCCTTAGTATGCCTTCGTGGTGCAGTGGTCAGCACACTCGGCGCGTATTCGAGGTTCAAGTCCCGGCGAGGTCATTGCTAATTTTTCGTCTCTCCTGTTTTCAAAAATTACCTAATGTTTTTACAGTAGCTCCCGAACTAAAAAAAGGTGATGGATAATGATTTTCCACCACCAGGATTTGGCGATTGGACCCCCTAATCCCCAGTTGCCCTTTAAAAGGGGGAGTATATAAGGTATTTCTCCCGCCTTCTTAGCACGTCTCCATGGTGTAGTGTTTAGCACATTTGATGCGTACTCGAGAGGTCCTTGGTTCGGATCCCGGCTAGGGTATTAATTTTTCATATCCCCTGCTTTCAAAAAATACCTAATGTCTCTACAAGTGAGTGCACGGCTAAGTTGGCTTCCGACCACGGACATGAACTAAACGGAATTATATACCATTACAGCGGGAAAATCTCCAAAGTTACAATGTTGAATATTATGTACAAATAGCAGTTTCCATATTTTACAAAGTCTTTCTTGTCCAAAATTAGTTCATATCATAATCTTACTGAGTAACTAAAACAATCGCTCAGATTTATACTTCTTGCTGCATGAAAACACGCTTTACTATTCTATGATAAACTTAACAGTAGTTCGGGGATTGATAACTGTAGGCGCCAAACGTTATCCTGATTATCTGCTTTAAATTCTGATCATTTCAAACATGTTATTATTCACGGTGGTTTCTGCTTAGCAGCGTCTTAAGATTTTCTCCCTTTTTTCCAAAGACTGCTC